CGCGAGTTCTCTATAGGACCAAGATATTCGACTGGCACGATGTAACAGAGAATCGAACGAAGTTTAATGAATTTTCGCCGTAGTCAAGAGCTATGTCCTTCGTGATGAATAGCGTGTATGTGTTATGTGAAACTTTCGAATTTCCCAAATGCTAGAAATGGTAGTAACTGTAAATTATTTATTTCTCTTTTTTTTTTATGGGAACCCATTTTTGCTCTTAATTGTTATTGTCATATTTTCGAATATTACAGAACGTTTTCAACAACGGAATGTTTTTAGCGACACGAATGACCGGCTCGTGATATTGTTCAATTTGAATAATTGCAACTTTTTATATTTTCAAGTATGGTCAGAATTATTTTTGCAAATTTTAGATTTACAAGGTAAATACGAGGCGAATATTCAGGAGAAGATTGAAAAATTACAAATGAAAATTTTTAATTTTAAACATGTATTTCATACGTAAAAAAAAATGTGGAAAAAAGTTTTCCTTCGAAATTATTTTGTTAATTTGAAAATTCTTTGAAAATTACGTTTGAAGTTTTGCTGACACACGAGCATAAACGAAATTCGGTGAAATTCTAGCAATGTACACTCGAGTCTCCAAATCACGAAGAGCATAAAGCACGATTTAGACGTGTCAAGTAGTTCCAGTCAATAGTTTCGACGACACGTTCAACGATTCAGACGAGCCTCGTTATCATTCACACGAGTTTAGAGAAATTTTTCAGATTGAAAATGTAAATTGAGTATTTTGGTTCGTGTTGCTGCGTTTCAACGACAACGTTGTCAAAATGTCGAAATTCTGGGCGTGAAAATCTAACTTTCATAGTGTCACTCTGACGGATGCATCACTTTTCATACTAAACTGACGTACAACAGTCTAGTTTTTCGAAAAAACAATTCTAAATAAAATTTTAAAAATTCAACCTTTTTAATACCGATTATTTTTTTTCATAAGAAAATTCGTAAATTTGCTCGAAAGATAAATGAATATATTGGTGAAATTACAGGAAAAAATACATTATAGTTCTTTGAAAAGAAAAACAACCTAAACTACTCAATTTTTTAACCAAATTTGAATAAATACTCCCTTCATTTTTTAATTAAAAACTAACAGAGACTAAGACTTAAGACTAACAAAATAATATGAGCTTTTATTCATTTCACTACATTGTTATTTCAATTTATTTTATTAAAATTTTTCATTTAATCTGTTCAATAAAAATATGTTTGAACATTCACTCGCGCGATTTGTCTTGCTATTAATAATAATAGCAATGCATTATTCTACTACATATAATACCTAACTAAAATTTTGGAATCAGACCAGCGGAGTGGTAAATTATTGATATACTCCACTAAATTTGCGGATACTTCAAAACCACACTGAAGCATCACGTTCGAACCAGTCGAGTACTAAATAATTAATACACTCAACTAGATTACTTCACTATAAGCCACTGCAATAAAGTGATAGACTTCCTTAAAAACGCGTCTGAACTAGCGGAGTACTAAATTAAATTCTGAATTTTGTAGGGACACTATTGGAGGTCTAAACCAAACGATCCTTAAATTATGATTTCTTTCTGTTACCGGACACAGTCAACATCAATCGAGCTTAAACTACTAAATTTTTCAACAATCAAATTAATCTAATATTTCATTCCACTATACTTTCACGTTCAAGCAAAACTTTAATACTACCATATTTAATAATACCTTTAATATTATCATATTTAAAAATGGTACACCGTATATATTAATAAAAATAACTGCACTCGTTCAGTAAGGAGAAATGTCAATATTTAAGTCCATTTTTTCTACGTGTATTTGGTCAAAAGCACCTGACATTTTTTACGCTGTAATTGTTGGTCAATATTATTTCAGCAAAACCAAATAACCACTTTAAATTTTCATTAATTTCTAACAACACACTCACTAGATTCAATTTATAATTGTGAAATGAGTCCATTTAACAAATTAAAGAAATATTCAGTACGATTACATATAACCTCTCCTTGGAAACGAAGCTTAAATATCTAGACCAATCGCGTGGAACAATGCTGATGCGCTCGACTAAATAGACCACTAGTTGCGTCTAAACCTTAACACGCAGATCAGTCACAGATCCCCTATGGCGTGGTAAATGCGAAGGAAAAAGATAGATGGCGTGTAGGTATCATTAGGTCCATCGAAGTGTTGAGTCGGCTAAAAGTTACAGCGTACGATTACGTGTCATGAGAGGGGGACAGGGAAGAAAAATGTCTATACTTACGTATACAGCGAGTGCCTATTTCGGGTAACTGGCAGGCATTCCGCGGCGTGGAAGGCGGCGCGGACGTAGTCTGATGTCGTGAGTGATGAAACGATTGTTGAGAGGGTGGCCTCCGGCCTCCTACCATTGGTCCTAGATTCATGCCGCCGGCACCGTTGTTACTGCTGCTGGCACTCTGGAAATTGAGGAAGAACGTCACAAGGAATTCGTTACGATGCTCCTCTCACGAAAATGCCTGTTGCCCATGGAATTTTTATTTCATCGTCGGTATGAATGGGTGTTGGAAATAAATAACACCATAAATAGTAAATTCATAGTCACATATGAATGCAGCCATGCTCGGTTAAATTGATAAAAAATTGAGGCTGCTCATTTAAATTATCGTAAGCAGGGTGTAATTTAAATTTCTCTAATTGCCGTTCTATCTTTGTGAAAATGAATTGGTGAAACTCTCCCGATGAAAATGAGTCTAAACACGACATAAATCGGACTAGTTTTACCAGTAATCAACTTCAATATAACGAGTAGCCACCTTTACTGGAGCTTTTAAATTTGATCACTTTTGAGACTAGTCCGATTTATATCGTGTTTGGACTCATTTTCATCGACAGAATCTCACTAGTCCATTGGAATTATTTTCGTAAAGTTAGGATGAAAATTATAGCAATTGAAATTATTTCTATTGGACGATTCGTTGTTACGCAGGCGGTATTCCCTTCAAGTGTCGATGCCCTCGCTATACTCGCATCTATTCACTTTCCTTATCGATGAGTTTAGATTTGCTGATTGTGAACTCGAGGCACTGAGTGGTTGGAGAAGAGTGGGGATAGTTCGTTTCAATTTAACCGAACAGGTTTCAGTTGAATTTAAACGAGCATGGGTGTATGAAATATTTCTATTTGACAACATTAAGAATAGAATTTAAGCTGTTTTCTGTTTTCGAAGTGCACACAGGGTGTGAATAAAGCACTGTAGCTTTAAGTGTCACAGCATAATTTTTCGTTTATTATTTATTATTAACACAGGAAAGAAACTGTACGTTCAGACGCATAGATGGCGACAGCGTAGAAAGCTATTCAATTACAAGACACCACGGGATGAAAAGTGATAACCTGAGCCGTAATAACTGTCCACGGGAGGCCAATAATTTTTCAGCCACGATATCAGCTTCTCAAAATGTCATCCACACCATTACTGATATCATCAGATAGGATATCGTATCGTTTTCCCATACTGGTCACGGACGTGTCACTTATCCACGGGGACTCAAGGTGATACTTATCCGGCTATGAGTTGTACCGGTTGACCCATTTTTCTTAATCGTCCTGAATACTTCCATTATACTGATGATATATATATATAATCAGAATAAAGAGACTTGCTTATTTTGAGATAACTAGACAATATTGTGACTAGGGAGATATTTGTGTCAAGGACGTTTGTGTTTTCGCGAGTAAAATAGCCTATGGCGAGACATATGACATTAATATTGTACTGTATTTACTAGGTGTGACAGTTGCAGCGAGATTGTTTTACCCTAAAGTAATAATACTAAGTTAGTAATCTCTTTCTGTTATGGAGAGCACCAGAGTATATGTATGTATTATTCGCAAGTTCCTTCACTTTCTAATTCAAGATCCTGGTAAATAGATCGAATTAAAGTTAAAAATGTGAAATTAATATCTTTGAAAATATGAAAAAAAAGTTATTGAAAGTAATGATAGTAAAATTGAAAGATAATTACGTGAACATAACCTATATTTTTACGGAAATTTATCTCTTTAAGTAAAAAAATCGCTACTAGGAACAACTAATCGTTCCATAAACTGTTTTGACTAATGACACTCATGAGTAATAATCTCTTTGGACGTATCGTACAAAGCGTAATATTCAGTGTATTGTATAGTTATATGCATACTGCATATAAGAAACTTCAAAGTTGTTGATGGACTTAACAAAGCGGGCGTATTAGAAGGTTGTATGTACTGTATTTTCAAAGCTACTCAAAAGATGGCAGGAACGACGCTTGTATAATATTTGAATAGAGGAAATCTGACACTACATTTAAAATATTTGCATACTAAAATCTTCTCGTACATTAATGGTATGTAACTTAATTTTGTAAAAGATCAAAATTGATAAGTTGATAATAGTGTATGTTAATTTTAATCAAACATTCAGAAATAGCCTTAAAGATAATTATTTTTGCTGCATACATTTTTTAAAATCCTTATTAGCTGATAATATATAGTACAAGAACACTTCACTTCATTTATCATTTATACTGATCAACCTCTAAAGTTACTGTAAACGAAAAAAAAAATTTTTATTATTATTGGAAAAAAATAATACAAACCTATTTGTTCCTCAATTTTACTGCATGCCTATATTTATTTACACTACCAAAATAGAAAACCGAAAGAGTTCGAAGTACCCTAACACGAGCTACTGTTACTTTTCAATAGAGGTATCGATATCGCGCGAACAAAAGCCCACGTTACAAAAGAACGAAAATGTTATCGCAACAGGGCGAGAATGTAGGTTAATGCAGCCCATCGAAGCTGTTCACGCTTGATCGTGATGAATCGTGAAAAAATGAACCGGCACTTCCTTGATAAAAATTGAAAACCTTCAACACCGATTTAAAGCAACAAACTGACCTTAAGATTGATTAGCTGGGTATTGATTCACTTTTTATTCAACAATACGTACCCTTGTAGTAAAATATTTTCATACTACGAGTAAAACTTTGACATGCGACACATAACCTACATATATTTCGTTAAACGTTCGTTAATTAATATACCAATTTCTTAGAAGTCTCTAAAAAGTTTGGAAAAAACTTTTCTCGATGTCCTGCTTTAATTCGTTCATTGTGAATAATTTGTAAAACACTTGATCAGTTGATGGTTATTCGAAAACTGAATCAATTCGTACACGTCCGACAGATCTAACGACACGCACTGTTCAATTTGTTACCGGAAAATTATCTCTTTCAGCTGTGTAACAGAGAGGTTAAAACGTAATAATCTCTTGAATGGTATAACGAACAAACGCGTGTAAAGAATTATCCTAAGTAGCAAATCAAGTGCAATGGAATGTTGCGAGTACACATGTAGGTACATGCATAAGTAGCTACGTTACATACGATTTGCAATAGAGTGCGCCGCAATACGTGTACCACGAATAATGAACTGTTGCACGAGTAAGAAGTTGTACAGGTTAAGTTAAGGGATTATACAATTTTTCTCAATTAATTAATTTTTCAACAGTACTATCTGACACTGCTCCTTCCAGCTTAGCTGTCTACGGACAATGACTTTAATTTAAGAGACTCAGTAACAAGCTTAATCAGACGATTGACAGACAACAACGTACAGGATATACACGATTGCTTACTCGCAACAGGATGCACTTGCGCTCGATTTGTTACCGAGAATCGGTATTAAAATAAGTGGCCGAATTGTTGTTATTACCACGAATTCATGTCCAGTGAAGTTTATGAGTGCAATTGGAAAAAGCGTTCATTTGGATTAACCAATTTTCACCATCAAAGAGTGATTTTTGTTTTCAAGAATTTTATTCTAAAGAAATATGAATGTTTTTCTACAGTGTTATGTTTTTTCAACATTTTTAAAACATTTCATACATAAAATTTAGAACTTCTAGTTGATTTGATAATTACGAAACGCAATCCAATGTTGTTCAAACGTTCGAGTATAATATACTCGGAATGAAATATTTTACCGATTGAAACGAAAAGTATGTTTGTTACTACGTTAACTGCCTTCGTTTCATCCTCAATTGCTTTTTATTCATTTTCGCGATATCAATCCAGTGGAAATAACATTCGCCCCGCCGAAAAAGGTTAGAGTTGTAACGTTTATGAGACGCCTTAACGGAAAAAGCAATCGTCGCCCACGCTCACTCTCTGTAAAGACCACCTTTACTTTAATTGCAACTGTTTTCGAAGGCACATAAACCCACCAGTGTTTAGATATTACGACAACCCATCGTACATCACGTAAATCTGGTATTAGCTGAAGCAACGAGTCTCTTGATCACATGTGTCATTCATTAGAAATTCTAGTGATTGTACTGTCGTAATCTTCCTACTGAAAAACATACATATATATCGTAACATACACACTTACACTTATGGTATATTTATTAACTTAGCACTTGGAAAAAATGAGTTAGATACACTTTATTTTCACGCACCTTCCTTTGTCGTTCATGTCGTTTTTAAAACTATGAACCTACATCTTACATGCAAGTTCAATGAAACTGTAATGTAGTCGATGAATTTATGCATTAAGCAGAATTGATATGAACAGGAACTTCGTTAATTTTAAAACTCTGGCCAGCACACGCTGCCCTTTCTTCACATACTGGCCCTATTCACGCTTTCCTTTCCCATGCTTGTTCCAATTCCACCCGTTCTCATTTGTCATTCGTCAATCACGAGACACGTCAGTTCAGTCCTTCTTTCCTTCCAATCGCTTTTTTCCTACGTACTTCTCTCACAAAAACATTATCCATTTCTATAGTCATTTATCTTAATGTTGCCGACGTTCATTATTCGAACGTATGTGTGTGTATCCTTGGGCTTAGCCGCGTAGCGTATAATCCACTTTTCCGTAGAAAAAAGGAATTGAAAATGTGAAGTGAGTGCTATTGCAATTTCACCAAACTCGGATGGATTTTAAGGTCGGACAATATTATGAATAATTCAGTTTAGTGAAACGAACGAGTTTCACAGCCGTGAAACGGACGAAATTCGTCGAACGTGTTCAAACACTTTTATTTCGATGATTCGGCAGATATATCCTCTCCTATCTGTTCTCCCCATTTTTTTTTTCCCTCTAAGCAGGTCACGGTCTCGCCGAAAAATGCTCCTCAGTAATGTTCGAAGAGCCAGAGGGAAAGCGCACGCAAAGTGTGAATTCAGCGAGCCTCATGCAGATTTCATGGTAATATCAACTGTGACAGAGCGTGTATATACACGATGTGGTTCACGTCACTTGAAACAGACCGCATTGCGTTAATAAAGTGACGATTTACTGGGTGGCTCTAAATTACCAACCATTTAAATAATTTATAATTTACATATTTTTATAATCTACATTTTTAATTTATGGATAATTAAGGCCCAATAATAATAGTAACAAAATTCAAAATTTTTCTTTTTCATTCTTTTTTAAAGTCAAATTTAAAAACAATTTTCAAGATCAACTTAAATATTTTGTAGAAAAAGGAAATCAAATGTATACTGTGATAATCACTATGCATTGCT